GAGAAAGGGCCAATAGGGAGAGAGACAGACAAGAGAGATGTAGGAGGCTACATCACCTGTCCTGTTGATGGCTCCAGTGACAATGGAACAAACTATGATCCTGAAAGACTGTGAGGGACACTGGCCCCAAGAGTGCCTCTCTGGGACCCAGGGACAAGCTCTACTCAGAACTGGGTATAGACCATTCCTTCCCTAACCCCTTCCCTTACTCCCTTGCCACATGGACTGCAGGGCAGGTTTGGTTTCCTGAAGGATCAGGCCATTTCACCAGCAGACAGATGCAATGCACAGTGGGTCCACACACAGCATCAGGAAAGATGTCAGCATAGAATGTTTGGGGCAAGCAAACATGCCAGAGGAGGAGACACAAGCAGACTGTACTTGAACACATGAGAACTACCAGCCTCTCGCTCCTGGACTCTCAGAAGTGACTGGAGGAGATTTGGCGGGCAGGTGGCTAAAAGCTATTGTAACTTGGGCATCAATGTTAATACCACCTTGTTTGCACCTATGGCTCTATAAAGCTGGGGATATTAGGGTTACAGAATGAATGATATAGGTGACATGAGGCAGGTTTCACTTGTTCATTCATTCAACAAATATTTATTGAGCCCCTGTATGCCCTGCACAGTGCTAGATGCTGGCGTACGATAGTTTACAAAACAGATGATCCCTGCCCCCAGGGCGCTCACAGTCTAATTAGTCATATAAATCAGTCTAGTGCCATCATCTGTGTACTACTCGGGAAAAGCACCGGCAGCCATGAGACGGTCTAATGGGAAGGGTTATTTTAGAGTAGGGGTCAGAAAAGAACAATTTGAGAAAGTGACATTTAAATCAAGACCTGGGGATGCACAGAAACAGCAGGTTAAGAACAGGGGATATGCATTCCAGGTAGAGGAAACAGCAGGCGCAAAGGATTTTGGGGACAAATCCTTGGCTATCTGGAGGCTGAGAGAAGGCCGGTGAGGCAGGGGCATGAAGGCAAGGAGGGGAGAGGCACAGGAGGGCGATGGGGAGGGAGGCAGGGGCCAAACCTCACAAGGCCACATTAGGACTTTGCATTTTAACCCAGGATGGGCAGGGGAGTGACGCGATCAGATTTGTGTTTTACGGACTGCTCTGGCATCTGCGTGGAGAAAGGAGTGGGAACAAGAGGGCAGGGAGAGCAGTGTGGAGGCTAATTCAGTTGCCTAAGGGAGATATGTTGCTGGCATGGCTGTGGTAATGCAGAGAACTGAAAGAAACCTCAGCAATATTTAAAAGAAGAGTTGACACTATGTTTTTCTCTTGCCCTTGCCCTATTACAGATAGGCCGAACTGTTGACTTTAGACAAGACAAATGGCAGTTTTTGACCATGTTGATCTGTTTGGCTTTGGGCTAGCTCAGATCTAATGATGCCGCATGGGCCCACGCCTGATGGGAATCTATTTTGTTTAAAGATTTCCTGAGAAAGCTTTCACAACTTCTTCAGTAACCTCTGCTCATGTTTAAAGTAATTACTATTAGGAAATCCCTGCTTGTACTTCGCCTGAAGGCCTCTCCCCCTAAAATTTCCTGGTTCTTGATGGAGATAAAGACGCTAAAATAGTAAGTCAAATATGGGCAGCCAAATATGATGTCATAATGACAGCTCTGAACACGTCTGTCTGTTCCACAGCCAAAGTGACTTATTTGTTAGCAACAAAGAAAGATGCCTAATATCCCTAGAAAAGGGATCCAATTCAATTTTTGTAGCTGTTTAGCTCACTGCCAAGTTCTCTGCCCTTGCCACTCACTCCAAGTGTGGTTGGTGGACACAGCAACATAACTTCAGAGACTGGTAGACACGCAGGATTGAGTCAGGACCTGCATTTTAAGGCACTTCCCAGGCAATTCATAGGCACATTTATTTTGGGAAGCACGGCCTTAGCTTGCCCTAAGGCTAAAAGTGGGTGGGCAGGGGCAGGTGCCAGACATTTGAAAGGCAGTGAGTCTCAGCAAGCGGGTGAGGGAAACCAAACTGGTCCAACAGGAACTGGATTTTCCCTGGAAGTTCCCTGAAGTCACACAGGGCATCTCAGCTGGATTCAGAGACAATGTGCTGCTTCCTGGCTGTTTCCTGGCTGTGTGGCTCTGGAGAGGTGCTGGGTGGAACCCCGCATGCTGAGATGCTGTCCGGTGGCCAGCGCTCCACAGGTGCCCCGCCCCCAGACAGCACCAGAGGTCACGGGAAGTCAACCCTCCACCCTCCCCCCCAAGCATGGACGGTTGGTCCCTGTCCTCTTAGCTTGGTCTCTGAGGGCCCTTGTTCTCTGGGTGGTCAGGGCGGCACCTTCCTTCTGAACTGAGCCGTAATGTGCAGGCTGTTTTAGCACCTCAGTTAAGATGACTCCCACAGCAGCCTCTGGGGGGATAGAAGATCCCGTTCCAGGGGTCCTGAAAGCTCTGCCCACACTGTGTGCTCCGCCTCTGAAGGCAAAGGACCCTGCATCCACCTGGGGAGGCATGTATGACACAACCCAGACGCCAGGCACAGCGGCGAAACAAGCCCGTTTTATTATTGCTTTCTTGGGAAGTGTTTCAAGGCACGAAATCCAGGCCAGAACCAAACCATCTCACTCTGTCTTCACTGGGGCTGATCCTTCCACATAATCAGGCAAACGGATGGAGTTTGTGGGCTGTTTAAAGCATATGGCTTATAAATACTGTAAAAGCAAACATTAATTTTGGCTTTTACTTACCGTAACATGTTCACAGTGCCTAGCACCGAAACACCAGCTCGGTCTTTGCCCGTTGTCTTCATTCCTGCGGTGACTTTGCGCCGACCCCCCAGTGCTCACCCCTCTGCTCTAACTCCTGCTCCGCCAGCCGCCTGAGCGCCTGTCTCCCTGCTGAGTCCAGCGCCCTCCTCGCCTGCCGGCCCTCTACCCTCTGGCTCTCGTCCCCCTGTCTGCCTGCTGAGTCCAGCGCCCTCCTCGCCTGCTGGCCCTCTAACCTCTGGCTCTCGCCCCCGTCTCCCTGCTGAGTCCAGCGCCCTCCTCCCCTGCCGGCCCTCTAACCTCTGGATCTGGCCCCTCCAGGTGCCTCTCCTGCTGCTCCTGCTTCTTTTGAAATGTTTTCGCACTCATTCTGTGCTCTCCTTTTCAGAGGCTGCAAGAAGCTCCTCACCCACGCGATGCCTCCGCTTCTCTCAGGCTATCTTCTCTCCCCTCCCGAGACCCAGCACCCAGTCCCTTCTTTCCCATTTCTCCCTAAGGGTGGCGTGGGGATCAGAGACTCGTGGAATTCAGAGTCAAAGGGACACAGCCTACGTTATGCTGACAGTTGCTTCTGAGTCACACTTTCTTCTTCTTGTATCATCTTCAGGGATGGCTGTCCCTGTCTCCCCTTAGAACAGAAAGGAGGTACAGGCCCCACTCACCTGCATGCCCCTTCACCACTGCTTCCAACCCAATGCCTTCTTTCATGTCTCAGCCCACGTGCGCGCACACATATGCACATACCCTTTCTAGGTGCCCTTAGTGCAAAGGTATGCTCCAGGCTCCCCTACGACACTGAGCTTTTTTTCTCCAGGGTCCCTTTTCCCGGCCAGGCTGGTCTGTGTCTCATGCCCCTGGGTGAGTACTAGGAAACAAAATTCTACTTTGAGGTGTTAAGAGCCGTGGGGTTCCTTTTCCCAGGTGCATCTCTTGGTTGGGGGGACGGTACCAGCAGAGGTCTAACAGTCAGGGGAACAGGAAGCTCATCTGAAAGCCAGATCCCACCCAGGGTCATGTTCAGCCAACCAACCAACCAACCAACCAACCAATCAGCCAGTTCGTCAGTGCTCTTGTGGAGTGGGCTTCTCTCTGTGCCACTGGGCAAGGCATCTTTCAAACACAGAAAACCAGGAAAGGAAACAAACAGAGCCCCGAAGAGACACCCTGGTAACCACAGGACAATGACTCTAACATCCGGTGTTCTCAGCCAGGGCTTACCCAAGTGCTTTACAGAACCTAGGATGCTACTTTTTCTTTCTTTCCTTTTTTTTAATATGTTTTTATTGATTTTTAGAGAGAGAGAGAGAGAAACATCATCAATCAACTGCCTCCTGTGCACACGACTAGGGATTTAGCCCACAAGCCGGGCATGTGCCAAATGGGAATGGAACCAGTGACCTCTTGCTTTCTGGGTTAACGCTCAACCACTGAGCCACACTGGCAGGCCAAGGATGCTACTTTCTTAGAAGCAGGGGCATGGAGGTCACACCCAAGTAAGCCCCTGGGAGATCTGGGAAAATCCCTCCATTTCCCAGGGCTTGGCCCCTCATGGGGTCGCAGTTTCCATGTCAGCCACAAGGAAGAGGGTTAGCTAAGGACAGTCATCTGAAGGGGATGAAGGTCTCAGCTGAGCACCGTCCAGGAGGTGGCAGTGCCCAGGCCTCTGGACGGCTGTGCTCCAGTCCCGCCCTCACACCCTAACGGCTCTAGCTCAGACTTGTGTGGTTGCACTGATTCTCAATCCAGCAGTGTTCACCTTTGGAGAACAGAAGGGAGGCTGCCCTGCAACCCCCCAAGGTGAGTAGGGCTTGCAGGTAAGCCAGAACATGCCCCGCCAAGTCCAGCTCCACCCTGCGGTTTTGCATCCAGCGCTGGGGTGTGGATCTCTGCTCAGCTACTCAGTGAGAAGTCCCAAGACGAGGAGGGAGTGGTGCCATCTTTAGGATGGGAAGAATTTCAGTTTCATTTCCCTGCCCCCCACTCCCAATCCCCACCGCCTTCTGCACACCCCTTGAGTAGAAAGATAAATATGAATAGAAACCTCCTCCTGAGCTCCTTTCATATCAACTAACCAACAAAATTGCCAATAAATTACTATTATAAAATGTGTGTATACACAGGCATATATGTGTGTGTGTATGTGTATACACACACACACGGACACATATATGTATGTGTATGTAGTTCTAGCTTTTCCTTCTTGCTTCCTCTCTTGCAGGCAGCTTCAGACAAAAGCTTCTGACCCCTCCAGAAGGGCTTCATCGGATCATGGGTGCAACATAGTTGGCAGGGAAGAGGCCCAGTTTATTGTGCAGGCGGCCAGTCCACCAGGACGGGTTGGAGCTGTCCAGGACCTCAACCATCTCTCCGGAGCGGAACCCCAGCTCGTCATCCTCAAGGGCCTCAAAGTCATACAGCGCCCGGGCCCATCGCACTCGCTGTTGGGGGAAAACAAAAAGGGGTCCTGCTGAGCTGGAGGCTGGTGGGGCTGGCCTTTGAGCCACCATCACACAGAAAATGATCTGCTGGCTTTGGCATCAAGACAAGGTCCTCTGTAAGCAGCTGCCCGGAAGGCTGACGGATGGCTCTCCAGAGACAGTTCAAACCTCACTGCAACTGAGAGCAGACATAGGCTGCACAGCCCTGAGCACGAAGTTACCAGAACTCACCAGAGTCACCACTGAGACTCAGGACTTGGGCTGAGGGAGATGTAATTCTCCAAGGCCCCAAGAGAATCCTTGAGACCTACTCACCCAGTATCAACAGGTCGTATTTCTACTTTCTTCAAGTGACACAGAATGGCAGTGTGCCCAAACGAACAGCCCCGGTGCTAGCACACCTGAGTCAAGATAGATCTCAGTGATAAAGGCAACACATCTCCCTTTACTAGAACCAGAACCAAGAAATGTGAGACTGACAGAGCAAGGCCAATGGCCAAACGAGAACAGACTGGATGGGGCTAGGCTGGGACCAGCTCCACCCTGGAACACTGTCCTCACTGTCACTATCTGGGTACCTACTACCTCTAGTTGAGCTCCATGCAGTTTGGTGTCTCTCCTGGAGGACCAACTGTTTCTCTAATTGCCCATCTTGCCTCCTCCATTGAGCCCAGAGGGAAAATTCACATACCCCAGCCACTTGGAGTTGCACCGGGTCTGTGTGTCTTCGGTGCATGAGAGCAGCATTCATTTCGCTGCCCATGCTCATGCCACAGTGCCCGTCGTTTATGTCAAGGCTGCCTCCACGGCGTTCCTAGAAATAGACGCAAGAGAGGACCTGTCACAGCACTGCCAGAGCTAACCTCACTGTCTCCCCCAGTGCCCTGCTCGGATGCCATAAACACAGCCAGTGTTCCAAGAATACTTGCTGCTGATGGCAATAAACCCTAGATGATAGTGAGAGGGGGAAGGATGACAAAGGGGCCTTAGATTCTGAAGACAAAGATAGTGGCAGGTCTCATTTATTCAATCAAGAAATGTTTACCAGGCACCTACCATGTATCTAGCACTGTACTAAGCAATGGGATATGTAGCTGGGAAGAGAAGGTCCCTTGTCTTCATGGAGTGTCAGTTCAGAGGAGGAATCATGCACATTTAAGTGATAAGTGAGCAGAGAGAAGAGTGTCTAAGTCAGCCTGGGTAATCAGGGAGGGTTTCATAGAGGAAGTGATGCTTGAATTCCACCTTATAGGGGGATCAGCCAGGAAAGGGCATTTTAGGAAGAGGGGGCAGCACATAAAAAGCCTCAAAGGCATGAAAGAAGATACAGTGGACCATTCTGGTAACTAAAGGTAGTGTAGCGTTGCTGGCATGTATGTCTGTGTGGGGAGCAGAGGGAGGTAGCAGGAGAGGAGGCTGGGGAGACAGATATGAGCAGCTCACAAAGGACTCTGTATGCCCTGCTAAGGAATTTAGGAGTGATGATATCTGGCTGCATTGTCCATCTCGGTAAGCCACCTAAAACCCCATCTGGAACAAGGTGGAGAGAAATAAATAAATAAGCAAGGCTCCATGGCAGGTGTTAATCCATTTTTCTTGTAAATCCTGACAGCCAGGTGGGTTAAGGGACATGAACAGATTTGAAATTGTACTGACAGGAAAATGAAGCAATTGTTCACTGAGTCCTTGGGGTTAGAAGGGGTGTGTGTGTGTGTGTGTGTGTGTGTGTGTGTGCGTGCGTGCGTGCTCAGGCAGGGAGCCATTGGATTCACAGAGGCTTCTTTGCCAAAGCAATTTCTGTATTATATTTCTGCCATCTGGGGGTCCTAGGATCTTCTTTATGAACTTGGTGAGACCTGATGAGGCTGGGACAGTCCAACAGTCCTGGGACCACAGAAGAACCCTGGCATTTATTTGCTATGGTTGTTTCCAGTGTTGTGGGGAGCCTTCACGCAGTAAGTGGCTGTGGGAACAAGGTGGCCTGAGCCTCAGGGAAGTAGGGGGAGAAGGAGAAGGACCTCCTCTCCACGTCACTGTGCCCCGCTCCATCCCATCCAGATACCTGATGAAAATGGTGCTGCTGTAGGTACCGCTGCTGTGACGGTGGAGCCGGGGGATACTGCGACGGAGGGGGTGGTGGGTGATCCGACAGCTTCCTGTTCATTGCAGGCCGGATTTCTTCTCCCACAGCCCCACTGAGGTGTGGGCCCCCCTGGGGCCTCCGGTCCAGGCTGTTGCCCCGGCGACCCTGAGGAAGAACAAAGATGATGTGGATTCGTCATCCTCCCAGGCCTCCTGGCTCTACCCCATGCTTCAGGCAGCTGTTCCCAGACTTTGCTCATGACAGTTCCGAGAGACAGCTGATGAACCCAGCGTAAAGAGGACGGATGGTCCAGACCCTCTGCATTCTCAGATTCTCCCACTCTGGGGATGTCGGGTCTCTGGTTCACAGACTGACACTTTTCACATGGTATCCATTTACCATTCCTAGTGGGCTTGTTTCTCTCTGTGTAATCAAGCTTAAATATTCTATTTTACTGATACGGTGCCACCCCTCCTTATCGCATGTTGCCACACTGCTGGACATCCTAACCTCCAGATAAGCTCTGCTATCGACTGTGCATGATTCTGAACTGTCATTTACAGCCTGGTGATGAGACCCAAACCAACAACAACACTCTTGCGGCACCATGGAAACCAGGCCTGCACTGGGCATGCTGGGAGGAGCACAAGGTCTTCTTTTAATGCTGCAGCCACCTCAGGAATCAGAGAGAGTTATTTTTGTTTAGCAATTACAGAGGGCCCTGGGCTTAATATACGCCAGGCACTGTTCTGAGCACTTGACAGATACGAACTCATTTAATCCAGTTTAAGGCAGTTTTATGTTGCCTCTTATCTCTGCAGGCACATCCTGGTAAAATAATATCTCTGTCCGTTTCCTGGTTAAGATAATTCATGAGGTCTTAGCTAACCTTTGTTTTTCTTTCAGAGCTTCTGTGTGCACTTGATGGGAATACCCTTTTCTCCCTTGATGGTAACTTCTCAGGCTTAAAATCAGCCAATTACTTGAAAGGGATGGCTTTCTTTATTGCCTTGTGGCACGTGTTGCTTTCAAAGTCTCAAACCTGACCCTGGGACTTCAGCAACTCCAGTCAATGCTTCTTCCTATACTTGTTTCTTACAACCATGCTATTTCTCCTTTGAAAAGTATTGTATAAACTGTGTGTGTGCGTGTGTGTCTGTGTATTTACTTATGGAAGGTAAGTTAGTATTTTCTTTGCGCCTACTATGGACCAGACTCGGTGGCAAGTGTTATATTTTCTCACTTGATCCTCATAACAGCCCAGTGAAGGAGATATTATATTCTCTCCATTCTACAGATGAGAAAACTGGTACTCAGAAAAGTTTCTTTTTTGTTTTTTAAATGTGTTTTTTAATGCTCACTTGAGGATATGTTTTTATTGATTTTAGAGAAAGGAAGGGAGGGAGAGAGAGAGAGAGAGAGAAACATCAATGTGAGATGTACACACCCTGACTGGGGATCGAACCTGTAACCTGGCTATGTGCCCTGACCAGGAATCGAACCCACAACCTTTTGGTGTATGGGACGACACTCCAACCAACTGAGCAACCCAGCCAGGGCAGAAAGGTTTCTTAACTTGGCTAGGTAATAGAATAGCTAGTGATAAAATCAGAATTTAAAGCCAGGTCTGTCTGATGCATTTTCTATGAAAATAATGCTCTATATTCCAAATTTTTCCAAGAGCAAGAATTCCAGTACTATGCTAAGTACTCTGAGTCCTGCACTCTGCTAAGTTTTCTACTCCAATGCCCCCTCTCCACCCCAAATCCTGTCACTATGCTCTAGCTGGCCGAAAACTGTGATGTAGTAATGTCTGTAACAAAACAGTGGCATCTGCAATAAGAGCTCCTGTGCACTGAGTACTTGCAGTGCGATCAGGTATGAAGTGCAGGAAGGAGACACAGCATCCTCTAACCTTCACAACCACCCCAGGAGGTGGATATCACCATCATATCGATTTTATGGACGAGGAAACTGAGGATTAGAGAGCTTTCCAAAGTCACACAGCTAGGGGTGTTAAGCTAGGACTTAAACCGAAGTGGGGCTTTAAAGTTATTCTACCTTTCAGAGTCCTTAGAGGACCTGCCCATCAAATACATCATCTTGGTGGTTCAGGTAAGACTCCGGCGGCCTAAAATCTCTAATGGGCTGCCTGGGACCCACAGCATACCTGATCCTCTCGCATCCTATCCCGAAGGAAGATCTGCTTTTGCTTGGAGATAGACGTGGTCCTGTAGTATTCCACCAGCTTATTTAGGGATGGGAACTTCTCTGTCCACAGGAAGTAATTCCCCTTGTTGTCTCTCATGACCTTGAAGTGCTGAACATCATCCTCATGCCTAGAGATCGAGGCAGATCCACATGGTATGTTACATGGTGACAGTGCCCCCTCCCTCAGCGTTGATGGCATCCAGGGATGCTGAGGGATGGGCAGTTCGCTTATCACTAGGCAGGTGAGTCGGCGCAGTCAAGCTCTAGGGGGAGATTCAGTGAAGGCTGCTCAGGACACAGGCTGCGCAAGAGCAGGAGGTGATATGTCTTCTGACACTGGAGCCAACCTTTTACAGGAAAAAAACGCTCCAAGTGCTTTAAAGACTATGAGGTCAAGGACCTTTTTACAATGCTTATCTGAAACGTGGCAGCCCCTGAGCCCTGCACTATGCTAAGGGCTCTGCCACGGTTCAGAGGGGAGAGGTTTTCCAGCCCTTGTTATCTTTCTGTTATCAGAAATACTGTGAGCCAGCTCCTTCAAGCCCAGACTTGCTCTGGACAGCAAGAGACCACCTTGAGAAATTTGTCACTTTGTTCTCTACACAGATCTCTTGGTCTTGGCTTATGTTTTGCATAAATTAGGTTGCAAAGTATTTTGAGCTTTTGAGGAAAGAACCATTATATAGAATTGTAGAGTTTTCATTGGAAAGGACTTGAGATTGTTTATCCTTATGTTTCCATGTTACAGCTGAGGATGAGGGGGCTTAGAGAGATGGAGAGCCTTGGTCAAGGTCACCACAAATGAATGGCAGAGCTGACGCGAGAACCCTAGGTCTCTGGTTCCAGCCTCACACCATGTATATATGCTAACTTCTTTTAGATGGGCATCTTTTGATACCAGCTGGACTCACAAGAGATGGGACATATTGTAGCAGGGTTGGAGAGACTGGATTTTACTCATCGGGAAAGGAGGGACTGGACCTTTACCAATAGCTCTAAGTCATTCTCTTTAGAATACCAAGTTTATTTGTAAAATGGTCATACATTTATCTTTAAAAATTAACTGACAATAGTACCAACTGCCTGATCCAGCAGAAAAGTCAAGAATTTAAAGAGTGTTGGAGAGTACAGATACCTCTGAAGGTTAGTGGAGATTTCTTGGGGATGGATTTAGTGGTCTGTGCTCATTGGGGACAGACCATGTTACATGGTGATAGTGTCCCCACCCTCAGGAATTCTCATTGCCAGTCTCATTTATGTGCTGGGCTCTGCTTGTGGGCAGGTGAACCTATGCAGTGACATCTGCTTGGCTGCTCTGGGGTAGTAACCAGCACTCTGCAATCACGGTGTGGCCTTCCCCTTGGTTTTGGCCATGAACAGATGTTTTCTTCACTCTAACACCACATGGCTCAACTCATAGTCATTACTCCTCATATTTGGGTGAGGGGGAGGAAATACACATGGGGTATAATTATTCACTCACTGCCTCTGGGCAAAGAACACAGTGAGGAACATTAACCCTTTCACTCTGGGGAGCTGAGAGGAGGGATGCCAGGTTTTCGGTGGGTCATCTAGGCCTATGGGGAGACTGTGTTC